ATCACCTTTCATGTTTCATTTTCAAAGGTTAACTGAACAACCTGAGGAGAGAAGCTGATTGGTTACTATGGGCAACTGCCCCAGATTCTGTCTGCTCCAGTTTTGATAAAATCCCCCCAGTTTTGCTACAGTGAATGGTAACCGCGTGTTTTCTTTCTTAAGATAGATAAATAAAAATAAGAGTGGTGAAGAGCCACCCAAAACAAAGGTTGTTGTCCTGGAGACAGCTCGGATCATTGCTGTAAATTTAGCTATTCCCTTCTTTGGAGTGCATTCTGTATGTATTGCTTTTAAAAATCAACTAAGGGCTGGTGACATTGCTCTAACCTTAAACATTTAGGGCCCATTTACATTTGTGTGTTGTAGAAACACAAAGTAAAGCATGCTTTGCTCTTACCTCAAAGATCAGTGGTGCCATTTAATTGCATGGCACACCAATTGCCATTTAATATGGATGGCACACCAATCCATCTTGCGAATGCATCTCATCGCATGTGCGTTTGAGCTCAACACTATGCACAGATGTGACAGTTTGTTAAACGAAACAAGGTCAGGGGCACCAACAAAGCATAAAACAAGTAAATGCATGACAGTTTGTGTAAAGGTGCCTAAGGGCTATGTAGTTTTTTTTTTACTCCTAAAGAATATACAGAAAATCTACTTGTGATAGAAAAAAAAGAAAAAGTCTACAGCAAAGATGACAGGCAAATGAGAAAGCATTCCCTACATTGTTCTATGTACCAAAAAAATTAACGTGAGATTTGTTTTAAATTTACAAATACCTTTTATTTATAACTAATTAACACATAAAGCAGTTAAAATGTTCCAGATTTTTGAACATGAATACAGAAGTGCAGTTAGTCAGAACATGTTTGGCACTATTTAACACTGTAAACAGAAGTTCAGATTCCTTTCCATAAGCACCCCATTTATCAGTCATAATTATATATATTTGTAAAAATTATAGCTTCCTATACAAAAAAGTGCAAAAAAGAAAAAAAACAGGAAATAGCATAATTATGTATTCAGAAGTTAAAAGATCTACAGAACATGCTACATACATGTTAATCACAATGGTTTTAAAATGTTCAACAAACTGTATCTCATTCACACATGTGGATCTAGTTACGAGGGTAGTTACCATTGGTGTATGAAAAGATTCACTTCTAGAAATATAAGCCTAAACGCAGTCGTATATTTTCACATATCACTGAAACATATACTTATGACAACCTATAAAATATTCGTTTTCATAAGTAAAATGTGTTTTAGTTTATTCTGCAAGGTACATTCGTGTTATTACCCAACACTTTGTGCCATTCAGACTGTTAGAATGTATCCAATAGGTTCTCTATAAAGTAGTGGTACAGACAAAAGGTCAAGCCATCTTAATCCAATGACAACATCCTGATCTTTAGCAAATGGTCAAATCTTTATCCACACCTGTGGCTCCTGAGCTGCTGGACAAATGAGTGCACGGAGGAGCAGATGTAGTCTTTGTGTTACTGAATTAACTATACTAAACTTTGAATATCCAGTGAATATTTATCTGTTACAGGTGCCTTGTGTACAGTGTTACTTCCACCTGATCTCTCAATAATTAGGTCATATGGCTGGGTTCACACTTGGGTGTTCGTAATATGCGCCTTTGACGTGCATTCCGGGCCGCGCGTTTTTACCGCGATTTGCGGTCAACGAAACATGCGACAAACGCGCATTTAAGAGGGCTATCCGGCTGTATCCTAATGGATATGCGCGGAAATACGCCCCAAAGAAGCTCTTTGGGCTTAGGGCGTTTTTCAGCGTGTTCCGACGTGCTGAAATACGCCCTGTTGGGAACCATGCCCATAGGAAATAATGGGATTTCACTTGCTTGGCGTTTCACAGCGCTTCGATCAGCGCTGTAAAAAGCCCAGGTGTGAACCTGTCCTATATGTAGACATTTAGGACTAAGTGCATAACGTTTATATAACCTGTAAAGTCAGACGCACATAAAGAGGCACCGACGCCATTTACTTCTAAAACTTAATGTTCATCATGTCCTAAAGTAGAGAAAGGCAGAAAGTTATCTTAGTAACTATATATAAAAGTAGACCTATCTGCTCCTTTAATTTCTCTCTAAATATATGTCCGTGAAGGTTCTCATTCATCCAGGTCATGGTATATCTGTAAAAAATAAGTCAAGGAAACTGGACTTGCTGTATTCTCCCAGATAAATTTTTGTACAAGTCATTCGGAATTGAGAAAGCTGGTTAGATGATTAGTGAAACGTCTTCAAGAAAAATACAGCAAGTCCAGTTGCCTTGAGTTATTTTTACAGATATCTCTAAATATATATTTTACTATGCAAGTCCACATTTTGCTGAGTTTATAGCACATATTGACGGTTTATGTCTATGGAATTGTATCCTTATTTTAAAATAATATATTATAAAAATAAACTTCTACAATAGCATAGCATGCAACTGTTTATATAGACTATAATATTTAATTCATTTAATTACTCTACTTGATATAATAACCTTGTTCATTGTCTGGAGGGAATTGCCTACAGATTGGTAGTAAAATGTCAGAGTCTGGACTTAATGTAGGCCCAAAAAAAACCAATAACCATAGAAAACTGTACTGTACTTGCAAAGATTTCTAAACAAGCTGCAGCTCAGCTGACAGAGCCCAACGAATGCCAGAGCTGCTTTCTCTGAAGTCACTTTACAAGTAGGTTGACTGATACTTTTGTGCATATAGATTGTATTAAGAATTGCACAACACAGTGCAATTTATGCAGTAGGCAGATCCCAAGAGTTGGAGATTTTCCTCTACTGCAGAGGAAAAGATCAGAGTGCTGTGTGTCCACTGTTGTCACAGATGCTTAAGGATTGTGGTAGCTTCTGGTTCTCGGTTGGCTCATGCAAGGACAGGTGGGCAGGCAGCTATCTTCTCACATGTTGTTCCCATTAATTGAGCCCATACAAGCATGACTTCACTATTTGTAGCCTTCTGGTTGATACTACAGCACTTAGCCAGTGATGGCAGATAAGGTGGTTTTATTTCTAGCATACCAATAAATAATGTATGGATTAAAAATTAACCCTGCAGACCCAATTAAAAATCCTGTCATATGATGACTGTATCTGTCAGGGTAGCAAATGTGCACAATACAGGCAGGCCAAGTAGGCAGCAATATCACAATGTTTGGGGAAGATCATACAAGTGACCCATATTCACCAATGTGGCTCTCTAAAGATCTCATCATGCGTCCCACCCAGACAATAAATAAGAGCATATCTATCATTCAAGAAATTCCATATGCTTCAATTATCATCAAAGGCACTCTGAAATGTGTCTTTAGGGAAAGTATGTATCTTTATGGACCTTTACACAATATGGATAGATTTGCCTCTAGCACAGGGCAACTTTAAATGTAAGAATTGCTTATACACACATATGGCAAAATCAATAGGGTTTGGCCTTTCAGCCATATGCATCAGATGGTGGTCAGTACCACCGTTTTATTCTATAGGGTCTTGGCATTCAGAAAATATATAATGTTGGGGGGTTTTATGTCATTTTCAGGCCTAAAATGTGGAATCTAACATGGGTGCAAAAAATGAAAAAAGGGCCTCAGTCATGAAGGGGTTAAAGATTCTACACTCAAAAGATCTTGTTCTTCAACACTTACTAACACATGTGGTCCTATATCCACTAGGGATGAAGTTCAAGTTCACATCTACCATGGGTTTGCAGTGGATCTCCATGAATTATAAATGTTTGGTGAAAAACTTTGCAGATTGGCTGCCAGAAATAAGGAAAAGCTTATTGCAGTGCACAGCCTTTGCCACTGGTCAGATGAGTCACAAAACCAAAAATGTAAAAAGGATTGTATAACCCAGCTCCCTTTCTATAAAAAAAGTCAGATATTGTCAGTGTGTGCTGGAACTGTTAGTGGAGCCGACAGTTCTGTGTAGGCAATGATGAGGTTTTCTTTTCTTTTCTTAATCTCGGTAATAGTACATGTCCTCCATGGTAGTGCCCACATTCCTATGTCCTTTGCTTGAAGGATTAATAAGCAAGCTATTGACAAATGGCCAGAATGGAAGATTACCCCTCTTTATTTATCAGTTGGCTTTGCCAAAAAGTTTGCCTATTTGGACAAGATTTTCTAAACTGTTTGCGAACTGAACCCGAGCAGATTGGCTTATCTCTAACAGCCACTGCAAGTATGTTCTATCAACGTCTGTGACTTGTGGCACCATACTTTCTGTGGACTGAAAGGGGAATAACAGTGTAGTAGGCTTTACATGCAATGGAGACCGTACAGGTGCTTAGTCTTCTGTGCCACATAAGACAACTGGCATTTAATTTCTAAAAGTAACTTTTAGCCTTGTTACAAGACTACAAACACGTTAACAGTTTGCTATAATATAATGAATTGGTTAAACAAAAATAAAAGTTCAAATGGTTAGAAAAGAGGACAATTAAATGTAGTCCTATGGGTGTTAAATATTTAACACACACTTGATTTCCTGTCCAATAATCCCATTGAAGACAGCTACCACCAAATATCATTTCTTGATATCTTTTAAGGAAAATGTTGAGCTATAGGCTGCAGAGTAAAGCTATTCAATCTCTATGAAATAGCAAAACATCTGTTTTCCTATTTCTGTACATGTATGGATAATCTGATATACATATCAATACCTCTTTTACATAATATCCAAGTTTTACATTTTCAAACAAGTACATTCAAACAAGAACAAATAGGCTAATTACTTGGATATCCTGAGTTAAAGAGACACTAGCTTAAATTTATCAGGAGAAGACAAATGACAAGATGGCTTATTGTTTAGAAAAAATATATTAATACTCAACTCATACTGGCTGTAGCAAAAATAAACACTTTGGTGAGAAACGCAAAAATCCCTGATAAAAAAAAAAAGTTATGTTTGATAACACTTAAAATACTGCACTTATGTACTCAGGAAAATGAGACAATTATTTAGGATGGCTAACAGATACCTGTCTGCATGATCTATGTGCTATCAATGGCATTAACATTGAGAATGGCATAGTCAAAGGTCTAGCAAAGAGAAATACGTCACATATAATTAAAGAGCGTTTGAATTTTTATTCTATAAAAGGATAACATGCAAATATATTTAAAGTAGGGTCAATTATCTAGTGCTACTCGTCAGCTCTAATCTAATTAGTCTAGTATCTAACTATAAATCCAGTGCTATAGATAACTCATTTCACAGAACAGACTCACACTGTGGGGACAATGCACGGTGAATGGCAGGCTAAGAAATTCCTGCCATTTCTTCTTAATCAATAACACTTACATCGATAAGACAACACATACATTGAACCTACATTTTAAAGTTAAACTGAACACAATGCTGATACTCTGAATACAATGAAGTAATTGAATGGGAGAAAAAATTAAAATTTCACAGTCTCATTGTCACACAACTTTGTCATTATTATACAATATTAATAAGTACTTCATAATGAAAGGTGATATTTTGATAACATCCCTGATCACTATATCCTGTACACTAGAGGAAAAAGTTTTTCCTCTGAAAATAGGCATTGCAGGACATTAGAATGGATTTTTATAGGGACACGGTTTTGGCTCAAGAGCAAAATTTCCCTCCACTAGAGTTAGACCTGAACTGTGAGTAAAGAGTAGTAGAGATTAATAATCAAAGCAGATTTCATGATCTCCTTCCTTCTTTTGACTAAGGCAGCTCAGCAGAATCAGTTTTTACTTGAAATCCCTCAGGATGTCATTGAAGATGTTCAAGAACAGGTGTGCATGGTGCTCTTTGAAGACCAAGGTTGGCCTAAAGCGGATGGATCGGTCACCAGCACCTCCTAGTACAACACCTAGGAAGACAAAATGGTCATTAGTATGTTCTTGCTGTGTCAAACATTTCATATTAACATAGTTTGCAGGGTTAAAGGAGACCTGTCTGGAGCAAAAATACTGGGACTGCCAATGATGACCTCCCTTTTGAAAAGCTAGTTGTCTGGCTTTCATACTGATCCAATGGCTTTAATACTTTTCTCACTCACGTGCCTGGAAGAAATATGTAGATCAGGAATTCCGACCACTCGGGTCACATGCACATACTTGTTCTGGGTCAGCAAAATATTCAGAAAAGCCAGAAAACATTTAAGGCAGCCACAGCCAGGCAAGTAGCAATTTCAGAATGCCAAAATAGCAGCCACTGTTTTTACTCTTATGACCAGTATCCTTTAACCCCTTCATGACTGAGCTTATTTTCAGTTTCTGGTCATAAATGACTGACACACTTTTTACATTTTAGCTGTGTGATTCTTCCACAGCAGTAATATACTTTCTTACTAAATGTACCCACACATATTATATATTGTTTTTTAGAGGACAGAGGGGACTATATAATTATATCAAACGTGTACTTAACGCCTCACTTAATTTGAATAAAATATGAAAAAATGAGGAAAAAAAACTAGAAGAAAACACTTTTTTTCACAAGTTTTGATAATTATTATTATTGTTAGAAATTTGTTAATAATAATTATAGTATAAAAGAATGGAAGAATGGTCAAACATTCCCATAGACACACTACTAAACCTTGTGGAAAGCCTTCCCAGTAGAGTTGAAGCTGTTATAGCTGCAAAGGGCGGGCCAACCCAATATTGAACCCTACGAGCTGAGACTGGGATGCCATTAAAGTTCATGTGCGCGGAAAGGCAGGCGTCCCAATACTTTTGGCAATATAGTGTATATTAAACATCTTCATACTGGAATTGAAGTTTTCTGTAAACGCTTCCAACAAAGCTCTTGATGACATTTGCCAAGTTGTGGTGACCCCAACGGTAAAATTTAGGGATGACGCGGCTGCTGCAGCGAAATCTGGTGGCGTGGCGGGAGAACTGACACTGCTGCGCTGGAGAGGGCTGAGGAGGACACACAGCGACCCACAGTTTGAGAACCACTGCTTAAAGGAGACAGCAAATCCTCTATTTCAGCGGTTCTCAACCTTTCTAGTGCCGCGACCCTTTGATAAAAGTGCCCAAGTTGTGGCAACCCCTAACAGTAAAAGTATTTTCAACGCAGAATAACGCCAGCTACAGAGGAATACAGAAAATCGCAGCAATAGTACATTATACTATGTGGTACTATTGCTGGGATTTGTAGTCCTCTGTAGCTGGCTTTATTCTCCATTGCGACATATAATTTATTATTGCTGGGAGTTGTAGTCCTCTACAGCTGCTGGTATTCTTCAGTGTGCTGTATAATGATTATACGGCGCAACGCAGAATAACGCCAGCTAAAGAGGAATACAACAAATGTACAGTGTATAATGTATTGCTGGGATTTGTAGTCCTCTATAGCTGATGGTACAGCACAATGTACTAGCAGCTAGAGAGGACTACAAATCCCACTACCGACTACCCCAGCAATACATTAAAGCAGCACCATGTGGGGGGGGGTGAGAGAGTGCAGGCCTACCTGAGCAGATATGTACGCCGTCAGAATAAAAACCACCATAGGAATGCTATCATTAGAACTGGACCTTAATTTCAGGTCCCCCTCTGCTAATTGGCAGCAGCAGAGGGCGGGCTCAATAGCTAGTTTGCTATTGGCTATTGCAAAGTGAAATAGCCAATAGGAATCTAGCTGTGTGTTCCTATGGGTTTATTTTTTTTTCTCTCACTGATTACGGCCTGCGGCCCGATGTCAAAAAAAGAAAAAAAGCAGAGAAAGGTTTGCTAAGCTCGATCGAGCATAGCGAACCTGTCCAGGGAAAGTTTTTTTTTTTCTCTGATTTACGACGGCATGCGCAGAGAAAAAAACAGCGGAGCAGACCTTTCCCGGGGCCGCGAGGCGACCCCTGGCAGATAGTCATTCGACCCCCGACGGGGTCGCGACCCCCACGTTGAGAACCGCTGCTCTAGAACATACTGAAGCTCTTAGATTGCACTATTAGAAACATTTTATGATTTCTATGTGAATTCAAGTTACTGCATCAGCCGAATTCTGTCAGCTTCTGTAGCTTACATGGTAACTTCCTCTGCTTTTGGCCAAATATATAAAGAAAAGCACCTACGCACTATCCATTAACGCCAAGATTGACAAAGCATTATCTTTTTCTTTTATAAAGTTGTAACAGTATGAACTTTGTTGTTCACTAAGGCTAAGTTTACCTTCAGACTATGTTTCATGTTACACCCATATTTAGGGTATAGCATTTAACATTGTCACGTGTGTGTGGCTCCACCTACACAGCCATGCCATCCATTCACAGATCTTTTAACAGGATCTGTGAATAGAGAAACTACAATTCCCATGAGCCACAATGGAACGGGGACTTTCAGCTCTCAGGAACCAGAACATTGTCACAAAGTCTCTGTCAGGGGCTGTGGAAGCCTCACACAATCTGCAAACCACTGTTATTCTTCAGTGGCCCTTCCTAGGACCTTGGCTGACAGTAGGGCTTGGAGCAGCTTTGTAGGTTTGGGGGAAGAGTTTAAAGACCAATCTACTTTCAGCACTGTGGGACCAAATAATTTTTTTTACACAAAGACAGCCTAGAATAAGTTATGTATGCCCTAAAGTAACTAGACATGTTTATCTTAATAGGCATGGGTTGATGACAGGGTCTCCATACTGACATATTTCTGCATTACAGAGCTGAATGGTCAATACAGATTATAATATTAGAGACAGGGTCTGTTTTAACATTTATTCTTATGATAATTTACTAAGGGGTCAGTGCACTCAAACCTAAAATGTTCAAATACAAGGTATATTGTCTGAAGGATTAATGCCAACTTACCTTTATTTCTTGCTTGAGATATTAACTTAACGCGGGTAGCATCATTTGGAGTATCAAAAGCGCAGAATGTCCCTCTACCTCTAGCTCTGCTCACAAGATGTGCATACCGAGACTGTAAGAAATGACATATACTTTATATTATTTCTCCTTCTCGGATCAAGGCTGAAGTACTAGAGTTAAAATGGCAGCAACATCAAAATCAGATATAACAAAGTTTGAATATAAGTTTGCTTCTATGAAAAGACAAGATTAATATATTTACCTTGACATCTAACAAACATACACAGCTTCAAATTATTATTTGCATATGTAAAGAACTAGTTTTGCCATACATTTCTTATATCAAACAGTTAAACACTGAAAACTGGCATGGGAATAAGCCTAGTGAGGGATATTTATTAAAGTGTACCTTGCAAAAATGTTCATATCTTGAAACTTTTTTTATTTACTAATTTTACATCAAAATTAACTTAAGAGTGAAGTATACTTGTCAGTGTTTGGTTTAGTACAGACAGATGAAGTATTAAAAAATAAAGCTACAACAAAATGTAAGATTACCTGGATATCCAGAATTCCATCTAGAAGAACTTTTCCAGTTTGAATAGCATTGTTTAAGAGATCCTCTCGCTTTATTACATTTAAAACTTCAGCCAGCAAAAGTGTTTTGGAGGGGTCACCAAGCCAGGTGTTAAAAATTCGATAAGGCTTTGGTAAAAGAACAAGCACATTATTACTGCAAGATATATATGGAAAATAAAATCATGTTATGAAAAGTGGAGAAATGCATTTAATTAGCACTAATACTGCACAAAACTGACATTTTCAGTTTAATAACCTCACTTTTCTCCACGAAGTAGGGCAAAATTGTGTTGTGCTGACTCTCGTAAACCTCAACAGATTGTCTTTGCAGTTTAAAGAATACATCAGTCACACAAAAGATTATGAAATCAGTAAGATAGTAAGAAGTGGAATGTGTTTGCTGGGGGCAGGATGTGAGGCCAGAGAATCCTATTTGCTACACGGTTTTGATTAAGAAAAACCCCCTGATTTAGTTTTTTTTATTGGCCAACATGTGGACAAATGTTTTTTAATAAAAAAACATTTGTCCACATTTAATAAAACATTTATAATATAATATATATATTTTTTTTTAGGGCTGTGGAAATTAAAGATTAATTTTTGGGTTAATCGTTAAACGTTTTGATTGATTAAAATTATTTTGATCGCTAATGAAAACACTCACCTCTCCACCGGCTTCCGGGAGTCCAGTCGGCGATCCGGTGAGGTCACCGGACTCCTCCCCCTTTGTTAGCCGACGGAGCCACTTGGGCCAGTGAATTTGCCCAAGAAACTTTCTGCACGAGCGCCAGCCAAGGCATTGGCCTATACACATACAGCACAGCAATGAAGTAATAAAATGAACTAGGATCACACTAATCCAGCACGTTATTATTCTGAGTTGCCCCACTCAAGCGGCGGCCATATTGAGTGGGGCACGTGAGATTAATAACGTGCTGGATTAGTGTGATCCTAGTTCATTTTATTACTTCATTGCTGTGCTGTATGTGTATAGGCCAATGTAGTTGGATTTGTATGTGCGTTATAATTAAATCGAAATTAATCGATTAAAAAATTTTTCGATTAATCGAACACGAACATTTTAATCATTACCAGCCCTACTTTTTTTTTTAATATCATTGTATCACACAATTATAATATTAAACTGAGGCACTACCATCTATAGACTTATGTCAGTGGCCTTATGTCAAAGCTTTTTCTGAATAAAGCCTTCAGCTTGCATGTGATCATTATGACCTAGCAGACAGTGATTACAGGATGGGGAACCATTCTGATTGGCCCTCGATTGTTAGTGGGGACCCAAAGATATTTATGAGTAATGACCATCGTGAAGAAAAGCAGTCACTCCATCATAGTGAGCTGCTTAACACATAAGGTTTGTAAGCACTTTATAGTTTATTTTATAAGCATTAGGCAGTAATCCTCTGAATACTTACAGCATCAGGACGAAGTTCTTTCTTATAGAAAAACCCTCCTGTCATCATTTTCTTACTAAAGGAAACAGCATCCGCTGGATCGTCCAAGCCCCAGTGTTCATGAGCCCAAAATTTCCCAGTTGCTCCTCCGCCAGTTTGAACCTCATCCACTAAAAATGCACATCCATGCTGTAAAAGTTAGAATGGATTAAATATATAAGTGATAATACAAACATTTTTTTGAGATTAAAGAAAACTGAGGCAAGTCAGGAATTATAAAAAGATAATTCTGGTATAAAAATATTGTGTGAATAAATCAGGACATTTGTGTTTTTCAGCATCTTTAAGTGTTTCTAAAGGCGAGGCACTCTATGGTTGGACTGATTTTTACACCTCTGACTACAAAAAATGAACAGTTACGGACAGTAGAACCACTGCCATATGATGAGCACCAAAAGAAGTAACAGCCTCGAACTCATATTCTGCTGAGTTTTATGTTAGTAAACTGATTCTCAAGGTTAACAAAGAAAAACAAGATGTTTAAATACTGAGAGGGGAATTGATCAAAACTGGAGCAGACAATATCTGGAGTAGCTGTGCACGGCAACCAATCAGCTTCTTTCTTTCATTTTCAAATCTTGACTGAACAAACTGAAGAGAGAAGCTGATTGGTTGCCCTCAGCAACTGCTCCAGATTTTGTCTGTTCCAGTTTTGATAAATTACCCTCTGAATGTTTTCGATTAATGAATTTCACATGATTGTTGGGATATGGAGATAAGCAAATTTATAAGCCTTACCTGTTCTGGCCAGTAAATGCATTGCTATGCACTAGACTGAAAGCTGATTAATCAAAGCCAAACTGTTACTGAATTTATTCCATTTTATTACAAATGCCACAACTATATACAATGACTGTGGACAAATGCCCCACAGACTTAAATTGAACATTGCTCCTACAGTACAGGCAGGGCCGGATTTACTCTATCTGCTGCCCCAATGCCAGGTTCCTCAATGTGCCCCCCTGTATGCAGGTTGGAAACAATTGATTACTTGTACAAAACAAGCGGCGGCTTCCCTGTTGTACATTTAGCCCTGCTTGCCCAAAATAGGGCTAAATGTAGAGAACTACCACCCGCCCGGCGGCACGGAACTGCATGTCCTGGGCGTCGGGAGATAGGAATTCCACACCCCTGCTGCCCCGAGGCCGTGCCTCAGTTGGCCTTGTGTGAAATCCGGTCCTGAGTACAGGTGTGTCCTATTGAAATTTAGGGAATGTTAATGCATAGGCGTGGGAAGTGTGGCAATACATTTTTACTGGCCAGGCTGCAGGCAGTGTGGGAGGCCGCAGCCGTCAGACAGGTAAGGACCTACGGTGAGGGTGGTGCCAGTGCTTACTGTATTGAAGGAGCTACGGAGGAGGACTGGGAGGATTTGTTTACATTTGCGAACTTGTCCGTTAAAGTAGAACGACAGTTTCACTGCTCTTGCCAAAATGTTGTGTACAGCATACTTGCACATTATAGCAGAGTGGCTGTTTGCCCTCCTCCAGAGTGTGCTGTCCCTTGCCTCTCTGTCTGGTGCTATAATCAAGATTTTCATCACTCCTTTTTGGATTTTGGGCAGCCATTGCGTGCATAGGTTGCATCATCACTGAATCTATCTCTGTTCATCTTACAAAATGATACAGATGCTAGGAATGGGTTGGGAGTGTACACTGCACTATACATACGCCACAGGCAGTGTACAAAATTGCTATGAGACAGGGGTAAGAGTTATTTAGTATAAGAGACATGTAATGTCTGTGTTGAGTGATGTATATTTAGCTGGCCGTCTGGGGTTGGGACGGAGCACTTTGTTCCATGTGCCCCTTTAGGTCACGTGATTTATTTTGTTTCTGCATTTTTGCGAATCTTAGCTGCCTGGGATTCGCTGTTGGGGTGCTACAGCAGTGATTCCCCCTTTTTGACTTTTAGGTCATTTAGTTTGTTGTTTTCTTTAGATAAAATACTATTATGATGTTCTTCCCCTCCTTGCCTTTTCTCTTTCTCTTCTCGTTCCTTTTCTTCTGCAAGGTACGCCTCCTATTTTGTGTACCCTCTCACTATTTACATGCCAGGTCTTTAGTAGTTTGTTCCTTTAATATTAAAGGATTCTAACATGCAACCAAAGTGTCACAGATACTCTATCATATGCATAGGAAGAAGGCGGACAGTTTTCTTTTCCAGGAGACTCATTTTAGGATCCTTGACCATCCCTCCTGTGTCAACCGTTATTTAAAAAAATGGTACCATAGTGCAAATTCTGATGCCAAATCTAGGGGGGTCACCATTGGTATCCATAAGCGCAGTCTTTTGCGTTTAGTGGACTCCCAGGTTGACCCTTATGGTTGCTATTTATTTTTAAAACTAACTTTTGGTTTGCGTTTTTTTACTGTTGCTAATATGTATTTACCCAATTCTTCACTTCTATCTGCACTTGACAGCTTTAGAATCTTTTGCCGACGGTGAAATTATTATGGGTGGTGACTTCAACTTAACGTTGGACCCTAGACTGGATTCTTCCTCGGGTCAGAGTACCATTTCTCACACTGATCTTAACCGGCTTAAAAGGAAGCTCTCCTCTATGCGACCTATGACGTACCTTACACCCCACTGAGGTAGATTATTCTTTTTATTCTCCGGTACATCGAACACATAGCCGTATAGACTATATCTTTGTCACCCAATCACTGTTAGAAGCTAGTCATACTGTTTCTATCGCAGCGAAAGAGTGGTCAGATCATTCTCCCCTATATGGTTCTTTTCATTTATCCAATGTGACTCCTAGGGCTTCCTTTTGGCACTTAAACAGTAATCTGATTCTGTATGTCGCGCTGAAGTACATCAGAATATTGCCGATTTTGTACGCAATCATGCAGCTGATCCCTCCTCTCCGTCTGTACAGTGGAAAGCACTAAAGTGTGTCTTACGCGAGGTCTTAATGAAACATGGTGCCCGTCTTCAGAGATGGAGATCTCAACAGTTAACCTCCTTATTCACTAAAATTCAAGACTTAGAACAAGTCCATCGTAGAGGCGGAGATGACAATGTTGGCATTGAACTTTCTAATACAAGCACTAAACTTCTACAGCTTCTTGGTCAGGTTTCTTTAAGACACCGTGATAGATTTTGAAATCCACGTATGAATATGGAGTGAAGAGCAGCTCTTTACTATCTCGCACATTGCAACACCATACTGCATTCACTAATATTTGATCCCTGCGGTCCTCTACTCGGGGTGTGGAACATTCTAACTCTGAAATACTTCACACCTTTCATGAGTATTATTCTCAATTATATATTTTACCCCCGCTTGTTTCTTTTCCTCCTTCCTCCGTGGACACCGTGAACCTCAAGCTATAGTGCAGCCACTGCTTTGCCCACTATTCCTGCTGAGATTGCTGAAGCCCTTGACGTCTCTTTCATGTCTGAGGAATTGGTTAGTGTGATTAAACTGTCCAAAAATGATAAGAGCCTCGGGCCCTGACGGTTTATCTGCTAGATTCCTTAAGCTCTTTGCCACTGAACTTTCTCCTATTCTTTTGCACACTTTTAATTTCGTCTCTGACTCCTGTTGTTTTACTCCCCAGTCATCGTCAGCTCATATCTCCCTTATTCTAAAGCCCTTTGCTCCCAGAAAGCTATCACCCCATTTCCTTATTAAATTGTTGGCTGTTTGCGTGCAACCGGTTCTCATGACGGTGATCCCTGCGGATCAGGTCGGATTCGTCACTACGAGAGGCTAGAAACATATGTAAGACTCTTACTCTTGTGGACATAGCCGTAAACGTAAGATCTTTAAAGTTAATCTCATGAAATCTGAAATGTTGACTATCTCCTTGCCTACCTCTGATGTCCTTCACCTTCAGAAGCATTTTTCAATTTAAATGGCAACAGGGGGCAATTCCTTATCTTGGCATCAAAATTCCTTCAGACCTTGCTTTTTTATTTCCCCTTAATTACTCCGTTCTACTGCGTAAAACCAATCTTGACCTCCAAAACTGGCATTCTAAAACACAGTCCTGGTTTGGTAGAATCAACGCCATTAAAATGGACATTTTACCTATTTCAAACGATCTCCATTATTTTACCTAGATCCTTATTTCTTCAATTACGGAAGCTTATATGTGACTTTGTTTGGGCACCCTGGAGGCCACATTTTAATTATAAGATTTTACTTTGCCCAAAACATCAGGGTGGAGCAGGTGACACGGATTCTTGATTGGTTTCACCATGGTTCCCAGAAACAATGGGTGGAATTGGAAATTCGGAATTCTCCTTTACATCCTAAAGCTGCTCCCTGGGTACCTTTTCCTCTCCTTGGACGTCAGGATCAGTGGTCAATTTTGTAGTTTTCTACTCTCCACTGCTGGCATCTTTCTTTTAGTTCTTTAGCCCTTTCTACCCTCCCCAGTCCTCTCACTCCTTTACTGGATAACCCGTTGTTTCCTGCAGGCTGTCGGGCTTCTGGCTTTCTCGACTGGGACAGATCCTAGTGGCCTCAATTACGACATGTTCTTTCTGGAACTTCCTTAGATTCTTTTGATACTCTCCCATTCTAAAGGGTGCTTGGCTGCAGTATAAACAATTACGTAGTTATTATCAATCGCTATGACCCTCTTCCAATGTATACCCATTTGAGGCCCTATGTACTGTTCCTTCCCCTCCAACTCACACAATCTCTTTATTACACTTCATTTACATGACTCACCTGTTCTCTACTCCTACTGCATACACACATAAATGAGCTTTAGACTTGGGTTCCGCTATAGGTCCATCTGATCGATCATTTATGGGTAAAAAGAAAAATGTGCCAATCTCTTGTAAATTGCAAGAGCGCAATTTTAGAAAACTTACTAGAGTGTACCTTGCTCCTGTGAGGCTGAATCGTACTTTTCCCTCAGTGTTGGAGATGCTTGGGGGTCGCGGGCACCTATATACACATTTGGTGGTCCTGCCAGGTAATTTATGATTTTTGGAACTCTATAACAGGGCGAATGCAGCCTTCTTGAAGAACTCCGCCCCTTGACTCTATTGACGTTACTTCCGTATTCCTTACCAAAGGCTAAGAAGTCGATTTTACAATTTTTTTTCTTTTTGTGACTCGTCAAGCAATTGCTAGGCATTGGAAGTCTCCACTTCCCCCTTAC